AGGGAAGGAGGGAAGAGGGAGGGAGGGAGGAAGGAAAGGAATGGAAGGAAAGAAGAAAAGAGAAAGAAAGAGGGAGGAAAGGAATGGAAGGAAGGAAAGAAAAAAGAGAAAGAAAGGAAGAGGGAGGGAGGAAAGAAGGAGGGGGAGAGAGGGAGGAAGGAAGGAAGGAAGGAAGGAAGGAAGGAAGGAAGGAAGGAAGGAAGGAAGGAAGGAAGGAAGGGAAGGAAAAAGGAGAAATGACACATTTCACTATTGGCTGGCTGTTTCCCGATATTTAAAGTGAAAACACCTAAACCTAGTTCTGCAGGTGAGGATTCCTCAAAGGTTCCTTCGTGGTGGCTAGAGAAGTCTCAAAAACCACCCACAGAAAGGCCAGTTCCAGGCGTAGCTCTCGGTGCTTTGTATGTTATCGGGGAAATGTCGGTTTTAAGGGGCCCCCTTTGGCCTGTGCTTGGCTCCCTCCCTTCCCAGGCTGTCCCTCCGACCCCTGCCTGCTCCGGGGCAGCCGCTCTTGCAGGAGGACGCTCTTCTCGGACACCACCATCTGCACGTGCAGCCACCTCTTCAGAGGGAGACACTGCAACCTGGGTGAGCCTAAGTCACATTTTTCAATGCCATTGTGGAACGGTCACTAAATGGAGTGCTGTAAGTCGAGGGCTACCTGTACTACAAAAAGAGAGAGGATACAAACAATGCGCGCGTTCACACAAACCCCACACACACACTTCTCTGTACCTTTTTGGCCTGAGTAACTCCTAAAGGGCGATCTTCCAAGTGAACATTTTATTTGAAGTTGGAACAGTGGGTGGCATTCAACCAACCGGTTCGGTGAGCGCGCGATCAATTTTTTTATTGATTTATTTTGGCCCGGACTTGAATCTTTTGCCTTTCCTTCTTCCATCAGCTCCAAGTCAAAGCTGTTATTTGGGTAATGCGACCAATTACCTGGGCCTGGCCAAGAAGACCATCTCTGGAGATGATTGCCTTCCATGGACCTCCGACCTCCTCTCCTACGACGACCCTCAAACCAACACGGTGCAGCTGGGATTGGGCTCCCATTCCTACTGCCGGTAAGTCTCCAGAAATGTTAACTCCTTTGTAAGAACAGTTTGGAGTAGGTGTCAATCGTCCAGGTCATGGCTTTTCTCAGAATTTAAGATCAAATCATCCATTGGGTCTCCGTTGAATGCTAGTCCTATAAATTCTAATGATTGTTCCTGTACCTCTGACAAGCCAATTAAGTGTGATCATGAAAATAAAGTGTGAATATGCTGCACATGGGATGAGCAAATTGTCACGTTGATTAAATATCAAATATTTAAAGGGTTGCTGTCAGAAAAGAAGAAATGGACTTATTCTTGATTGCCCCAAAATTAGAAGAAGCAAGTTAGTTCAGACTAAGACATCAGAATAATATTCCTGTCTATACAGCCTTTGAGGGGCCCTGGTGCTCTCTGATTTTGCTTGTTTTCTTGTAGATGTTTCATTGCCCATGACTCATCTGTGCTAGTTAGGAGTAGAGTTTGCTGTCAGTTTCTATTCTAGTGCAATGATGGCGAACCTTTTTTGTTGTGGTGTGCCAAAAGTGTGCACGCGCGCGATAGCGCGTGTGTGCACGTGATGGCACCTACAATGCAATGCGGCCCTCCCTGCACAGGCACGCACAACACCTCTGCCCCATACCCCCTTACGTGCACTGTCCATGCGCGCGCCTCCCAGCTGATTTTCGGCCTGTTTGAGGAAAGCCTCTGCAGCCTCGGGAGGCCGGAAAACGGGCCTTCCGGAAATACCAGAAGTGCCTGTTCTCAGCCTCTGAAGGGCCTCTGCAGCCTAGGGGAGGCTGTTTTTGCCCTCCTGGGGGTTTGAGGGAAGCTTCTGCAGCCTCGGGAGGCTGAAAACGGGCCCGTTTGGGCACTTCCGGTATTTCCAGAAGGCCCGTTTTTCGGCCTCCCGAGTCTGCAGAGGCTTCCTTCGAGCCTCCAGGAGGACGAAAATGGCCTCAAGTGGATTAAAAATCAGCTGGGAGGCACACACATGCACAGTGCAGGTAAGTTTGGCTGGGACTTGTGTGCCCACACAAATGACTCTGTGTGCCACCTGTGGCACGCGTGCCATAGGTTCGCCATCACGGTTCTACTGGCTTGCCTATCAGTATTGCGGAGGAGCACCCCTTACTAGCACTGATGATCCAAGAATGATAGCTTCTCATCCAAGCCAAGCCAAGCATTCTCAGCCAAGTGAAGCATGGCTGGCTGGGGGGATTCTGGGAGTTGAAGTCCCAGACACCCCTGCTGTATACAGCATGATCGGTTCACAAACTCCCTAAATTGCTGGCAAGACCATGGTCCAAGAAAAGAGGATTGTGCCAAGTGAGGCAAAGAATGAGAAAGCAAAGAGAAGATAGAATTGGCTTCAATGACTTGAGATCCCAAGTACCACTTAGGATGGCCCTTGGAGGGAGGGAATTAGGAGGAGGGGGGTCCCACAAAGCCACTCCAGATTTATTTATTTCATTTATTTATTTATTTTGTTTGTCAAACATGTACAAGATAACAAGTATGAACATATAAACAAGAACAAAGGAAGTAAATACAGATAAATGGGAACAGTTAGACAGGGATGATAGGCATGCTGGTGCACTTATGCACGCCCCCTTTAAGGACCTCTTAGGAATGGGGTGAGGTCCACGGTAGACAGTTTGAGGTTGAAGCTGTGAGGGGGTTGAGGCCGTAACAATGGAGTCTGATAGGGCATTCCAGGCATTGACCGTTCTCTGTGGCTGAAGTTGTATTTTCAGCAATCGAGTTTGGAGCAGTGTACCTTGTGTTTGTCTTGGTTGTTTGCCCATGTGTTACTGTGATTGAGGCTGAAGAAGTCCAGAGGTGGTATTCAGTAAGTACTGACCAGTTCTGGAGAACCGGTAGTGGAAATTTTGAGTAATTCGGAGAACTGGCAAATTCCACCTCTGACTGGAGATGTTACAGTATCCTTCCCCTGCCACGGCCACCAAGCCATGCCCACAGAACCTGTAGTAAAAAAAAAAATTTGAATCCCACCACTGTCGTTGACAGGCAAGATGTTATAGCAGACAATGATTCTTTCTCTTTTCTCAGTTTATATGCTAACCATCTACCTGGTTTGTTTGCATCTTCAAAATAGTTCTGTTGAGCACCTCTAATTTTCTATGCTAATTCTTCTTTCTCTATTTGACCCATTTTGTGTTTAATTATATCCATTTTTAGCTTGATGTCCTTTTTCTGTGGCATTTTCTGTAGCTCTTTTTCAAGTCTTTCATGCTCATCTTCTAGAACCTTAGTGGCTTGCCTTTTCCTAATATTCCTTTTCCTTGTATAGTCTATTATCAAGCCTCTAGCGTATGCCTTCATTGTGTCCCATACATTCTGAATTGATGTATCTTCTTTTTTATTTTCTCTAAAGAAAAAGGCCAATTCTTTCTCCATCCGCTGCGTAAAGTCTTTTTCCTTTAAAATAGTATTATTTAACGTCCATCTCGATCTTCTTTTTTGTCCTTTCCATTTAATTGTCATTGGGTTGTGGTCTGCCCAAGTACTTGTTTCAATATTTGTTTCTTGAATATTAGATATTAATTCTGTTGGCATCCATATCATGTCTATTCTGGACCAGTGATGGGTAACCTTTTCAGCTTGGTGTGTCGAAAATCGGGGAAAAAGTGTAGCCTTCCTCGGGTCGTGTGTCACTTCAAGAAATATCAATAATTTGGTTTATGACGGACTGGGCTGGGGTGATCACACAGGGCTGTGAAACTCGTCTCCCTGGTCTCAGGGCTGCAGGTGCAGGATGTGGGGATCGGAAGGCCACCTGACAGGGCTGTGAACCTCATGGATCTCCTTTCCTCCTGTAGCGTTCCTGAGGTAATGAAACTGACAAACCTCAGTTTATGGCGGTTAAAACTGGTTCTCTGCTGCAAAGATCTTGCGGCAGCGATGACACCACGCCTCCACGCAACAAGCAGGGAGCAGGGATTGGAGCAGAGCACAGGCAGCCTCTAAATGTGCAGGTTTTCCCCACACCAACAGGCGTGTCAGTCAAAGTGCCTCGGCGTGTCACGAGTGACACGCGTGTCATAGGTTAGCCATCACTGTTCTGGACCATGATAAATGTCTATTTGAGTAAAAGGTATATTGTTTGGTTTTAGCATTTCTTTCTCTCCATATCTCTCTCCATATATTCAATGACAAAGAGGTCCCTCACAGATAGCTGGGCCTCTCCTAAACACCGAGGAGCCATCTTAAGAGTCCTTTCCCTTCCCTTCCCTCTGACATTAGCAAATCCTAAGCCAAATCCACATTTGAAGGGCGGGAACTCCTAACAAAACCAGAAGACATCCAGCCTGGAAGTCAACGGGTTACTCAAAGAGTTAATTCCTTCACTTTTCCCAATGCCTTAGAAGTCCAGATGAGGACGAGCAGCCATGGTGCTATTTCATTAAGGACGGCGGGCTGTCTTGGGGATACTGCAATGTGTCATCATGCCGTAAGTAACCTGTAAATCGCAGGATTCAACTTGGGTTGCACCGCCAAATTAGCCCAAATATGGACAGGCGCAGGGGTGGGATTCTACCGGTTTGGACTGGTTCGGGTGAACCGCTAGCTCCAACGATGAGCTGGCCGTGAACCGGTTCACTCGGACAATCACGTGGGCCCGCCCGCCAGCCCCTGCACTGTGCTTACTTATATCCTCTCAGCTGATTCGTGCGGCAGAGCATATTGCCGCTCCACAGCTGTGTTACTCCCCAGTAGTAGCATAGCAGGTAAGTTTTTTCAGAAAGCAGTCCACACACATGCAGTGTGCGCGCGCACACACAGCGCATGATCACTGAACCGGTTGTTACACCAGCAGCATCCCACCACTGGACAGATGTGTTCTTAAATGTAGATGTGGTCATAACCCAAAAAGGGAGAGGAGACCAGGAGCGATAAAGAGCTTGTTTATTTAGCATTTGCAAAGGCCGGGACCCCTTCTCCCTCAAATGAGAGACCCCTCCCACAGGCAGGTTGGAGATTTTTATACACTTCTGCATACAAGATTCTGTTAATCTTGTCACCTTATCCTGTTCCCTATGGGTAATTTTCCAGTAGCCGCCACCTACTCACTTATCTCATTTCCAGATAACTCCATCTCTTATGGCGTATCCCCATGATGGCAAACCTATGGCAGGTGTGCCGGAAGTGGCATGCAGAGCCATTTCCCCCAGCATGCGAGAGCTCACCTGGAACAGCCCCAGTGCGCATGCGAATGCACCGCTGCCACCCGACAGATGATTGTCGGGTATCTGGCATGCATGTGCGGAGGGGTATGCGTGGGAGACACGTGTGCATGTGCAAAGACACGCACCGTGCGCTGGAGGTCGCACACACATGCGCAGACGCACAGCATGGGGGTGATCACGTGCACATGCGCAGATGCGCAGTGCATGGAGGGGCGATTGTGCATGCATGTGCAGATGTGTGGTGCATGAAGGGTGATCGCGCACACATGCACAGATGCATGGAACACAGCGGGGGAATCACGCACGCATGCACAGAGATGTGCTGTGCGTGGTGGGGGAATCATGCACGCAGGTGCAGAGATGCATAACGCGCAGCGGTGGAATCATGCATGCATGCGCAGATGCCCAGCGCACTGCAGGGGATCACACACGCATGCACAGATGTGCAGCATGTGGCAAGGGGATCATGTGCGCATGCGCGGGGGGGGTGGGCCAGCACACATTACCTTCTGGGTGCTGTCATGCAAATGTAAGCGCATGAGCGCACATGCAATCAAGGGAGCCAAAAAAGGTTTGCCAAAACTGGCATATCCTATACTCTGTTTGGCAGATTGTCTATTCTAGGATACTGGTATGAATATCAGCATTTCTTAATTTTAGCATACAATAACACATTAAACAGTGTGTACTGCCAGGTCTGTGACCTGCCAAAATTTGACATGTTCCAGAGTATGAAATAACCTTGTTTTTGTGATTAATACAACATTGATAGAATTGTTACTTAATATTCCAGTAATATTGCCATAGGTCATTGATAGGGTAAATATAGTGTTATTTATGTTTTCTTATTTTCACAGGTATAATCCTCAATATGTAATTTTACATATCATAGTAGACTTAAAAAAAAACCACAGTTACCAATCAGTGTCACGTCAATATCAATCTTTGTGCCAATACCATCCCTCTGGTCAGTCTCTCCTCATTACAGGTAGTCCTCGATTTACGATCACAACTGAGCCTGAAATCTCTGTTGTTAAGTGAGACATTTGCCAAGTGAGTTTGGCCCTGTTTTACGACTTTTCTTGCCACCATGGTGATGCGGATCGTTGCATTTGTTAAATTAATAACATGGTTGTGAGGTTGTGAGACCATGATAAAAATAAAACAACAGGCTGTGATAATCAGAATCCGTAACAGGCTTTATTTGATATTGCAATATCGACCCCCGATCTCCCAGACCGCAGTTTGAGAGAAAGGAGGCACCCCCTTCCAGTAAATGCATCCTTATATAGGATTATCACATTTAGAAGATTACATCACACTTCCTGTTTTGCACGTATAGAAATTACAGAGATTCTCATAAGAAATCCATGGAAATCTCCCAACTTTCTCCACTTCACCACTTATCAGCAGATTTCCTGTTTTCTACTGAAAAGATTACACAAGAGATCATTAAGGACTCTTATAATGTCAAGGCAACCCTTTATGCAGCTCAGACCAAGCCAAGGACGTAATATTTTGCAATTCTACCTAACTTTAGCAGAATAAACACGTTCATAACAAGTTATATAAATGTTCTGATCTCTAAAGTTCAAATTAAGAGCAAACATGGAGTCTGTCTTGCTCTTTATATTCTTAGGTGTATAAGGTAAATTTCCGCATATAACAGAGGTGAATCTGGATTCTCCATTGACCTTCCTGGTCAGAAGATCGCAAAAGGGGATCACTTGACCCCCCCCACCCCGGGGGGACACAGCAATGGTGATAAATCTGAACCAGTGGCCAAGCGCCTGAATTTTGATCAGGTGACCACGGGGATGGCTGCAACCGTCGTATGTGTGAAAAAAAGGTGCTAAGTCTCTTTTTTTTCAGTGCCGTGGTAACTTTGAGCAGTCACTAAATGAACTGCTGTACGTCAAGGACTGCCTGTATTACAGGAGGCTTAGCAAGGACAGGTTCCTCTCTTCTAGAATAACAGTAAAAGATTCACTATCCAGTTGTGTCTGACTGTAGGACCCGGTACTCATCTCCATTTTTAGATGAAAGGAGCCAGCATTGTCCGAAGACCTTTCCATGGTCATGCGGCCATCATGGCTATATGTCAAATGCTCACAGAACGCTCTTATCTTCCCACCAAAGAGGTACCCATTGATCTACTCGCATTTGCATGCCTTCAAACTGCTAGTTGGGCTGGAGATGAGACAAGGACAGAGCTCACCCCGTCGCACAGCGCTCGGGTCTCGAACCCAGGCTATCAGCAGATAAGCTCAGCAACTTTTAACTACTGAGCCGCCACGCCCTCTCCCTCCTACAGCAACATTCTGAAAAGCAAACAGAAGGAAAATCCAGTCAGGAAATAAGAGATTCCCTATCCTCACCCTTCTTTCAGGAAGCGGGCGCAGGCAGATGCCGCCACCGCCAAACTTTCTTCCAGAAGCTGTGGATGAGTTTGCCATGGTCAAGAAGTCGTGTGGGAGGAGGCACAAGAAGCAGAAGTTTGTAAGACCCAGAATTGTGGGGGGATCTTCTGCCTTGCCAGGATCCCACCCCTGGCTGGCCAGCATAAACGTCGGCAGGAATTTCTGTGGCGGAAGCCTTATTCGCTCTTGCTGGCTGGTCACGTCGGCCCATTGTTTCGCTAACAGGTAATGCCACTCGCTTTGTGGATGGGTCTCAAACTCTGAATTTCTTTCAAAGGTCTTCCGGGAGCCAATTGGTGAGGGCCCAGTGAAAATGATTTCCCTGAGCTCCAAAATGTCTCCAAACCTTCCTCCATCTCCTTCTTTTTCTCCCCCTTCTTCCTCCTCCTCTTCTTCTCCTTCTTCCTCCTCCTCCTCTTCCTTTCCCTCTTCTTCCTCCTCTTCTTCCTCCTTTCCCCTTCTTCTTCCTCCTCCTCCTCCTCTTCTTCCTCTTCCTCCTCCTTCTTTCCCCCTCTTTCCATCTTCCTCTTCCTCCTCCTTTCTCCCTCCTCTTCTTCCTCTTCTTCACCTTCTTCCTCCTCCTCCTCCTCTTCTTCCTCCTCCTCCTTTCCCCCTCTTTCCAGCTTCCTCCTCCTCTTTGTCCTCCTTTCTCCCTCCTCTTCCTCCTCTTCTTCTCCTTCTTCTTCCTCCTCCTCTTCCTTTTCCTTCTTCTTCCTCCTCCTCCTCCTTTACCCCGTTCTTCCTCCTTCTCCTTCTCTTCCCCTTCCTTCTCCTCCTCCTACTCAT